CGTTATATTACTTTGTATCGAAATTAGTATAAACGGCTTAGGAGTGTTAAGTATTTATGCAAACATAAAGTCAGGCTCTCTGATGCAGTTACCTTAACAGTAGTTTCTGTTGGAAATGGTAGGGCTAGTCTTTGTATGTGCATGTTATTTTAAAATGATTATTATTTACTTGTAATTTAGACTCTAAATGCCGTGTGAATTACGTTTTCAATGACTATGAACTTATTTTGTTTGTCGTACTTATAAAACTGCCTCCTCGCAACAATTCGCTGTTATGAGTATTCATCTAATATTTCAATTGAATGGACAATTGCCAGTCATACTTATTAATTAACAACACGTTTTACAAGTCAATATTTAATTTATTGCTCATTCCAATATTTATGTTAAAGCTTAAGTTTAATAAAATTTCTTAAATTATGATGATATTTTGACATTGTGTATGTAAATATGTAAAGAATAAAGTTCATGTTAGGAGTTATAAGCGTACTTCTTCTAAACATTGTGAAAATTGTTTTCTGTAAAGAAATCATGTTTATCATATTTATTTTAGTTTAAAAGGTTGTTTATTCTAGTCTAACACATGGTCGAAGGACATTATTAAGACGTGAAAAAAACTGTTGGTTTTTGAAAGAGTTTAAAGGAAATTCTTTCTAAGTGTTCTAAAACAATAGGTTACGTTCACTACAAGGGGAAAGAGAGTCAGGTCTTGTCAAAAAATAGTAGGCTCTAACAAGGGTGCACACCGTCATCTATGAGTTTTCTACGTGTGTTAGATATATAATAAGTAGCTATCCTTTTTGGGTTGCTAACTAAATATGGCTGTAATTAAAAGGATAATAACCAAGTCTACCTAGGGTGCGCACCCTTGGTACCTATCCTTTTTCGGTGTGTTAAATATGATTTTGAATAAAACAATTGGCATTTTTTAAACTCAATTTGCATACATCCATATACAGCAATTAATAATATTTATCTATTCTACACTAATATTTAATATTAATCTACTCTGTATCATTAAATTCGTGAAAACTGAACTTAGGCTTCTGCAAACAGGACGTCTTTTATAGTGGAACATGAAGTTAGAACCCTACGATGGAAGATATTAAGCTGTTCAAATATTATTATGATGCAAATAATGGTATCATAATAAAGACGGAACTCATATGGCTGTATAAAACATATCTGCAAATGTTTAATGAGGTTAGTAACGTAAGGTATGGATCACCTGCAATATTATACAAAATATAAAATTGCATATATAACATCAGCATAGGAGCAGTTTTTATGTACTAATAGCAACATTTGGGAAGTGACGGAATATACAACCAGAAAATTCTGCGATAAAATAATAACATTAATATAAACACACAGTTTGATCGTTTAAACAAAATGAAATGATAAATGACGATAGATTAGGTATTAGCTCTAAAAATGATATAATATCGGTAGAATGGCACTGCAAAGGAATTCTCACTACTTTGGAAGATGAAAAAGTGAAAAAACTTCTGCACCGTTCTTATAAAGAAGTTAGTAAGAACGATGTAGTATCAATCCCAACAATAATGATAGCGTCTCAGAACACTCGCTGAGAGCGATAGAAGGAGTTGCAATGTTTGTCAAGCATAATTACTTTTGCAGAAGTGGAGGCCTGCTCTTTTACTTACGGTTTTATAACTGTCGGACTCTAATTAAGTCTTACTGAAATTAAAAAAGACAGCAGATATTTTCTCACTCAGTTCTAATAATAAAACTTAAATTAATGAAATCGTTATGGTAGTGAATTCTGAAAGAATTTAAAAAAGGAATTCTAACTAGTTTCTGGATTGGTGCCTGTAAAATCTCTATAAAATTATTCAAGGCTTTTTTTCGTCAACCATAAAAAACCTACAAGTCTAATTAGAGTAAAATCCCAGTTTCTTTGGGTGATTCTTAGGTTATTTTTTATTTGATGTCATACAATTTTTAGAACAATTTAGGTAAAGACTATGAGAACCCTGTCGAAGATTTTGATTGCAATAGCTTTCAAATAAAATTTATTTAAAAAAAAACCAGTATGAATTTTTTATAACCTTGTTAATAATATTTACTTTGATAAGTGAACTTTTTAATTATTATAAAATAAATCATCGAACAAAAACCACAATTAGATAATATATTTATAAATAAACTGAAATTAATATAATTAAATCAATTAAATAACTACACAAAAAAATTTGTTATATGTTAATTTTAGAGTTTGATTTGCTCTTTGATTTCGTCAAAATTTTTTATTAAAATAATAATTTTTTTTTTGGTATTAGTTTGTTTAAATAAAAACACACTAAATGGGTTTGCCAGTAATATGATTTTATCATTCTTAAGTATGTTAAGTAAAGAGTCAATAATGAAAAAATTGGAAAAATTTATTCTGATTTAAGTAAGAATTTTACTAGCGAGATTATTTGATAGCGAAACGTTCTTTGTAGTTTTGCATAAATTTTTTTTGGTAATTTTTTTTCCTGAGCTGCTTAAATATGCGCATTAATAAAAACCTTATAATTTTATTATTTGTAAATTTTTATTTTATTTCTCTTCTATTTGATGAGATGTGAAATGACAAAAATTTGTACAATCTTAACAAAGTTAGAGATGAATAACGGGGTTACGCCTCCAGGAACTAGTTTCGCAAATGAAGCCACGCGATTTCTAATATTACTCAAAAATATTCCCGAGGTGTACATGAATAAATTTATTTTATTATTCACAATGTTTTATTGTTTATTATTTAGAGAATTGAGGCACGTGATGTTTATGGGTTTTAATAAATATTTTTAGACTGTTCTAGTAGCCTTTAGTGTTTGCTACAAAGTACTATGTGACATATATGGAGATCTAATTGGAAATAGAGTACTCAACTCAACTCAACTCCGATCGCTTAAAATAGTATTAGTATCACTTCTTTGATGGTGTTTTCTATAAGCCGTAACTTATAAGTCTGTTCTAATTAAAAGGCATGGCAAGTGCTAAGAAATTAGCAAAAAATAATAAATAACTTGAAATTTGAACAACGATAGTTTCCTACATCTTCGAGTCGGTCGGTTAATAAACGCCGAAGTAATTTGCTTCGAATTTGACAGATTTAAACATCTATTACATTGAAGTCCAATAATTATTTGCGAATTTATTAATTATAAATAATACAATAAGAACAATAACAATCATTTTAAAATGTTTACCAGGTTGAGTATTTGGCAGTACTGCGAAGAATCTTATAGCCAGATAAAAAATTCAATTAATTACAGTGGTTGTCCAGTATAACGAACGCTCGATATTACGAATTTTCGATATAACGAACACCCAAAATATTTACATTGATTGTTCTATATAACGAACGAAAAAAAAAAATTCTGCTCCATATTACGAACAAAAAATTTTTTGTTTCTTATTCGTTTTTGTTTTATATAAATTATGCTTTTGAATATAATTTTACTATAAAACTAGCATTATTCAGCTTAGAATATGCATGTAATTGTCCGTTTTTTTTTTTCTGAGAAAAATGCCTATATATTGCAAAATGCATATATGCAGGCGCCACTGATCTGTTGTTCACAAATTCAGTTTATCATATACGAAATACGCCAAGTCATCCAGCTGAAAAAGAGTTGATAAAAGTTACTGAAGATGGAACAATATCGACAATATTTTTGCCACCTAATGTCACTCCGTTGCTACAACCAATGGATCAAAACGTTATACGGCTTGTTAAGTTACACTATCGCAATAGTCTTTTGAGCAAAATTGTGGCTGAAGGTTGTGACAATATTTCAAGCGCTCTAAAACAAGTTAATATTTATGATGCAGTTTCCCTTTTGTCATTTGCTTGGCAAAAATTGTCAGAAGATCTTATCAAAAAGTGTTGGGCTAATATTTTGTCATTTAATTCTATTGAGTTCGATGAAGAGGACGATATACCTTTGGCTCAGCTTATACCACGAACGAATGATAATGTAACTGAAACAACCATTACATTACTTCAAAATGTTTTTTCTAATGTAAGAAAGAATATTATGCTTAAATATCCTATATTATATTTTCAATTTTATTGTTAGTGTGACATTAGTACATACGAAGTTAATAAATGGAATAATGCTGATAATACCATCGATGTCTCGGACGAGGATGATGGATCTGATGACGAAAATATAGAAGAAAATAATTTAGAAATTAATAAACATGAAGATGCCATAAATCATTTCGAAAAATGCATAAAGTGGGCGATTAACAATAATGAAACTTCAAAATTAGCTGTACTAAGAGAACTACAAGAAAAAGCTGTTCAGAAAAATTTTGAGTGTAGTAAAAAACAAACAAAAATTAATGATTTTTTTTACTCTACACTATGATTGACAACCGAATAAAAAATACTTTTAAATAAATATATACTCGTACGTGTTTATAAGTTAATTTATGAACTCAAATATATGAAATCTCCTAAAAATAACCATATTGGTAGGTAAATGTATAACATTCGATATTACGAATTTTTCGATATAACGAACAAGGGGTGCAACATAAAATTCGTTATATTGGACGTCCACTGTATTGTTTTTTTTTTTAAATATAAAATAAATTAATTTAATTTTTACAATACAAAATATTTTCTTGACCGGTTTTAAGTTAATTACTCAAAAATCCATAAACATTTAAAAACTTCACACATTTCATGCTAAGTCAAGATATTCTAAAAATTGGTGGCCGGGCATTAGCAGTAATCTGTTCTAACGTAACTAAATAAATATGATGCTCCATATAATCACTATGCGAAAATGGGGATCGAATATTGTTCAGGTAAGCCAAATCATAAAATTCGTCGATATGCAAAAAAAGAAAAAGACCTAAAGTCATCTGGAGTCTTTTTGCTTTGAGAAGGATGCATAAATACTAGAATCTATCTGTGAAAAGAAAATAATAAGTAAATAGACAAAAAATATCTTTTGGAATTTTTCAGCCCAGAAGTCTACAGTTAACTAGTAAAAACTATGTATTGGTGTCCATTTCCAAGTTATATATAGATCCTAGGAAGAGCTAAGGTCCTCCTTATGTGAAGTTTTCAAATTTATAACTAGGTGAGATATCCTACGAAGAACTAGTGATGATCTACAAAGAGAGAGCCAAGTTTGTGTGATTTTGTTAAATCATTGATGAAGTATATTACGATTAAACATATTGATTTCCCTCACTGAAAGATGAGAGAATTTTTTCTGAAGATGACTATCGCAGATAGTCGAAATATCGTAAAAATATTTTAATATGTAATTTGTTTTTAAATATAAATAATAAGTTATAGTTTTTTTATTTCTATTTAAATGACCAATTAGCCCGCTAATAAATTATTATAGTATATAAAAACTTTATAATTTTTATATATATATAAATTATTGTACCTTTTAAATAATTTTCCTTTCTGATATTCAATTAATTTGTTTTATTCCTAGTATTTTTATTATTTGTGATCTAATTTATATTTATCTATTCCTTTATTTAAGAGTAGATGGCTTCAACAGTAACTCTTTGTCGAAGAAAGCTATTTTGAGCTTAAAATTCATTCCATTCATTCATTCTACCAAGCGACTTTTTTTTGGCCTCTGTTGATGGGCATGAGATACGTACATTTTTCATCAATTTCCCAGCATACTTGTTTGAAAAGGATTTTATCTTAATATAAATGGGCAATGAAAATAACAATGGAGCAATGTACTGTTTTGAGTCTTTAAAAGAATTACAGATTTTGTGATATCGTGGAAAGGGAAGATCTTATGTGAAGCTCTAGAAAACCAGTCCAACTCAACATTTAACCAGTTAAAGGTTTCGCTAACTCCAACAAACAGAAATGGTCAGTAGAACTAACCACATTAAGAATGAGTTAGAAGCCTAACCCGCACAGTCAACACTGAAGTCATCTCACATTTTCAGTGAGACACTTAGAGATTTATCTACAAAATTGTGTGTAGGTACTGATTGACACCAACTTAAACAAATAAAAATATTATGTACATATATTATATGTATTAATATTATATATACATATATATAAAAACAAACTAGTAATTCTACTTAAGCGATCTTTTATAAAAACTCTCCTTTGATTTTATTAATTAAATATAATTAATAATAAAGTTTAAATATAAAAATCAAGATTATAGTAGAATCGACTTTTATTTATCAAAACTATCCTCTTACTCAAACTAATAATTAGCATATAACTGATAACTGCCAATCCACCAATGGTAATGGCAATAACCTTACCATCAGAAATAACCTAATGACATCTATAGCAAAACACTTTAATCAAGACAGTTTATATATGCAAAATAAATAAATAAAAAAATAATCTTACTAAACCGTTTGAATTATTTTAATAAAAGTTCATATTTTTTTTATAATTTTACAAACGACTTTCTTTAATTTAATTTAAGATTGATTCTCGCAATTTTAATTTTGCGGTCACAATTTTTGTGGACGAATTTCACAGACAGTTTGTCTGTTTTAAGCTGCATAAATTTTATTTTTTAAATAAACAAAGTTTATTTTTTATTTTTGATTTTTTAAATTTTTTTTTGTTTTTGATTTTTATGCTCTTAAAAAAAAATTTATTATATGAACAATACTTCAATATATTATAGAATTTTTTTTTTGTGAAGTGCTCCACCAAGAACATTTGTTTAGTATTCTTTTTTATCGAGTTAAAATCCAATCAGGTTTTTTTAAAAAAATAAAAAATAAATAATTTTTTTGAATGTTTATTAATAATAATAGAATTTTTTATATAAGACGAATAAGAATTTTAAGATGACATGTATGTGAAATAAATATTGTAATGTGTTATTTATTTAATATTCTGTATCAATACAGATTATTATTTATTTAACTGCATCATTATAGATAAATTTATAATACATTTATAAACTTTTTGTAAATATTGAATTTACAAATTTTATATGACGCCTACTTACCCTTAACGCTGCTGGAGAAGGGGAGTAGTCGACTGGTTCGCATCGAATATTGTAACCATTTAGCCAGCCTCCTATGCAGGACTTTAAGTGAATAAAGGAAAAATATTTTTTTATTAATAGTTCAATGTATATAAATAGTTTATATATTAACATATTATAAAATAAATAAAAAAAACTCTTTTATATAGAATTTTCACTAAATAAAACAAAAATATTTTTTCTAAATAATTCAATATATACATATATAAATATTAATATTGTTTATAATATATAAATATTCTACAATAAATTGATATTAAAGAAATATGTTTTTTATAATTAGAAGTAATAAAGTAAATACTCACTTCATAAAATAGCCAGGCACTAAATATGACTTGTGCAAAATTATAGACAATCAAAACTTTTCTTAACTGAAAGGGTTTTCTGTTTTCCATCAATTTGGGACCAAGTACCTGCAAACAAAGACAGATTGTTAAAAAACTTGATATAAAATTAAAAATTTTGCAATTTTTTTAATTAAAAAAAAAATAATGTCTTCAAAATAAAGCATTAAAATGTGCGAATTTATTTTAGTAGCGCGTCATGTTATTGAGACATTCAAAAATGTTGTTAAAAATTTTATATGCCAATGGTTTCTATTTTTAAAAACCATAAAAAAAAATTAAAAAACTATAAGAGTTGCCAAGTTTTGGGCGAATAGAGTTGCACAAAATATCAAAAGTTTTTTGTTTTTAAAACACTGAAAAGTTCCAATGTAAATTGATTTTCATAATTATGACTCATTGTAAAACTATTATGTTTTATAAAATATTTAAAAATACAAAATACCACACGTTTATACATAAATCTCTGTAAATAAATGTATATATATTCTGTATAAAACGTAACCGGAATTAATAATTCGAAAAACACGCTCAAAAGTTAGTAACACTGTATAGTGTTGTCAAACTAGATTTGACTCTCGATCTGTTACTCAGTGAGTTAACATCAGCTGTTTTTGTAATTTTACTTCAAGTTTATGCCTATTTTACTTAATGGTAAGCCAGTCTTACCAGCGTTTTAATACTATTTTTATAGTTTATCATATTTAACATATGATACACAATATATTAAAAGTACCGCAAATCGTAAGTTTTTCACATTGTAATTATTTGTATTAGATGTTTCTAAGTGTTCATACTTTCTGAAGAATTAGGACTTCACGGAAGGTTAGATTCAAAATTCAAAAACAGCTGGCGAATCTTTTATGTTTCAAAATATGAACGCAATCCCACTTAATTCATATAAATAAGTTCAAATATGATGATTAGTTTAGTAATGTGATATCAGAGAGATCTATTGTGTTTTGTATCTACGTAAACCTCTCAGTATGTATAAATGCTGACGCTCTTACATTTCCTTCAAAAGTATTCTTCAATTCGAAAAATAGAAACTTTAAGGAAACTTGAAATGTCCTATTAAAACAGCCGGTATTCTAATATATTAGGTTCAATTTGCTGTGATAATTATAAAGTACAAAAAATAGATAGGGATTAAAAAATACTTTATCTTAATGTGTTTTCACTATGTGCTATCTAGGATATATCTATATATCAAATTTCGAATACGTTGAAATGGTATTTTTTTTTATAGTATGATCGTCTGAAGTCTTAAATTACTAAATTTTCTCAATTCTTTCTGCCATTAATGAACTTCAAGCTAATTAAAAAAGAATTATAATTTATATATTTACATATATTGTACTCATATTTACAAATATTCATTATTAATTATTTTTTTGTTTAGATCTATCTAATAGAGACAGCCAATTTTTTTCTGAATTCAGAAAAAATTTTGTTCATGCAAAAAAATAGACAGACAAAAGGACAAACAGAGAGACAGACAAGAAAGGAAATAGACAGAAAGACGAATGGACAAGTAGACACCATAATAGACAAACTTAATAAATAATATTATTATTTATTTATTATTATTTATTTGATTATAGGCCTTCGACCACCTTCAAATAAAAACTAGGGAAAAAGGATTAAATAAGGTTGTATCCTTTCACTCATCCTGTTTCTAGTAGCAATTAAAAAAATAATATCTAGATAATAAGTAAAGACATAAATAATGGTGGTACTTAATCAGTAATAAAACAATGTTGATAAAATGAAAGTTATGAGCAGTTGATATGACAACTCAGTTCAGCCCAGATTATGTATCGATAGTCGTGTTATCGAATGCGTTGAAATTTTAACTCCTCCTGAAAGTGTAGTAGCCAAAAAGAGTGATGCGAACCAGGATTTAGGTGCACGTATATTCCAAGTAACATCTGTTACATACAGTACGGTATGTTACATACAGTAGGGAGGCCTTATCAATTTTCATTAAAATCTAAACTTTAGAGATTTGATTCTAACATTAAATCACTGATATACTATTGATATCACATGAAGTACTTCAAGTACTTGAAAGCACTTTATCCATATAAAAAAATGCATTCGATCGAGAAATCAAATTTTTAAAGTAACGTTAGATTGGTGACACATATTTTAAACCTAGTAGCAATATAACAAGACAGACGTTGCGTTTAAACGTATTAATTTTTTATGTGTATTTAGAGTTATGTATATTATATAAATAGTAATGGGATTCAATTTAAGAAGATTGTTAAAGGGCTATACTTATGTGAAAGTTAAGAGTTGCAATAAGTAAGTAATTAGGTAAGTAATTCATTTATAGCTGTAGATAAGCTCCTAAATAATTTTAATGTAACTTCAGTACTAGTTCCAATATATTAAGTAAAGTGAGCTGATTGATGTTAAGTGGATAAGCCTCCATGTCCCAGCAACAAGATAGCAGTTAGTTAAACCCAACAGCTGACTTGATAACATTGAATTTAAGATATGTCCTTGAAAAATATATAAATTTATTTATAAAAAGTAACTTTTTATGAAAAATGTTGTTGTACTTATGTAATGTAAGATATAACAGCTGTTAGTTACTTGCCAAAAGTTCTAATAAAACGATGTCTTAAATACTAATGCCTAGACGTTGTAAGTCAAAAATGCTATATTAAAAATTTGTTAATGAAATTAAAAATTACGAATAGTGGAAACTTGGAAATGTGTAAGCAAAAAAAATGGTTTCTTATTTCTTTACCCCACTTTTAATTAACAAAATTTACTTTGATAATTTATTCCAATGCGAATTTAGCTGTAATGTTTGCATTTTATTCAAAATAAAACTCGCTAACCGTCGTAATAAAAGCCAATAATGTGTTGCAGCAACATTTGTTAAATTTATTTTTTTATTTTATGTATAAATTCATTTTTTTTGCTTTTTTAAGTTTTTAAGTTTTTATGTGAATACTTAAAATTGCATAAAATGCTTTGATTTTTAGTGCTTTGCTTTGGTGTTCGAATGCTTTAATGTGACAAACTTTTTATACTTGGAAAAAATATTTCAAATTGTAGAAATTAGTTTATGCTCGTAAATTTAGCAATTAAGAGATGCTCCAACACTTTTGGCTCCTCAGTGCTGCGAAATGTTGGCGTTTAATGATGCGAATATTTCAGGAGGAAGCATCAAATCATCTGCGAAACAATGTCAAATTTTGCAAAAACTTAGAGAAAATATTATTTATGTAAGTTCGTTTTTTTTTTATTTTGTATGTATTTATTGCCGCTGCTGGTATTTATATAGTTGCATAATAATGTTTAAATTGCATATTTAAAAGCATTTTTTACTTTTTATATGTAATAAGTTTATTATGCGATAATTTATAATGCACGCATTTTATGGCGGAAAGGCGCATCAAGGTTACACCGCTTAAGAGTTACTAAAAGCGAGTTTGTTGCTTAAGTCTTTTGTGCTATTTTTTCTAAAAAGCATCTTTAATAATTAATTTTATAACTTTTATTTAATTTTTATATCAGATTTGTCAATAGCATATATTTAAAACCTAAGCTGTAGTTATTAAAAACATTCACCACACTATCAGTTTGTTTTGTTTTACTGGTTTCTCCTGACCCTGAACTTTTATCTTGCGCATATTTCAAAACCGCACCGATGCGCTACTTATGCTGCAGCGCACCATTGAATCACACACAAGCAGCACTACAGCTTTCAGTGGACATGTGGAGCATGGAAAAACTCCAAGCTGCACAGGCATAGCCAGATTACAGGTTCATGATTTTAAATAAAATAATATTTGTTTACAGCAACTACACATGTCACTTCGAAAGGAATTGTAAACTAGTTTTCAGTCTCGAATGCTCTTTGGAGCAATGTCCAAAGTAGTTCGACATTCAAAGTGATTCAATCTACTGTCCTAAGCAGATGTCAGACATAAAGCTATATTCTTAATTATATTACTTTGCAGATTATATTCTTCTAGAATTTGCATTTTTTAGTGCTTTTGTTAATGAACTTGAATTTCATTTCGAAATGTAAAAAACTAATAAAAAGTCGACGTCATTAAATTGTTAAAGGCAATATAAAATGCTTTTGTGTTTATTGCAAGTCATTGAGATTTTAACTTTATAGAGGAGTTAAGTGTGTATTATGCATAAATAAATTATATACTTTGATCAAGTTAAGTGCACATTTGCTAAGAGGGAAGTAAGTACTCACATGTTGTGGTTACAAAAGCCACACTACATATGTAATTGGTTGCATTCTCTTAACATCTTTTAATAGATATCTAGTATTGGTAGCAAAAATTTGTAACTACATTCTAAAGGGATTTCCCCATATCCGCATTTAACTGGCAGAATAAAGTACCCTCCAGCAACATTTTTATTACTGTGGTTTTTTGTATATTTTTATTTTTATTTTTATTTTTTACTGTCCAAACTATTAATTATACTCACTTTTACAAAATAAGCGTATGTTAAACTAATTGCTATGGTGGGGAAGGGCGAACTCATTAAGGGCCAATTTCTCGTTCGCGGATCTGATTTGTTATCCATAAGGTCCCGCCATCCTTCATAAAATGATGTAATGTATTCCTGTAAGAAATAGAAATTTTTGTTTTATTTATAATTGAGAAATATTTTGATCGGTTGAAAAATATACTTAAATATAATTGATTCTTTAATAAAATTTAAATAAATATAATAAGAATATATATTGTATTTTTTTTAAGAGGTAAAATATATATAGTTAATATAAAAGATTAAGTGATAAAATTATGTAAGGAGAGTGAAAAAAAAGTATATATTTATAAATAAATATAGTTCATATTATAAATTAGAATATAAATAATTATTATAAGCTCATATATATAACATTAAAGAATAAAAAAACATTAATAATAATGAAAATATGTAAGGATGGTGAAAATGTGATGTTCCAGATAATATAAAAATACAAAAAAATAAAAAAAATGGATTTGGTTTCAACTAATCTGAAATACTTATTACGCAAATATATAAACATATCATTATTTCTTATCATTATACATATCGTTAACATATATCATTTAATGTATGTACTAAAGTTTATATTTTAATTTGTAATAACACAAATTGTATGTATGTTTCAATATATGAGCTAACTTTTTTCAGTTTTTTGTACGGGTGTTTTATAGATATAGATATAGTCAACCTATTTGTGTTATCTATTTACTTACTTAATGTGTTTTATTCAGTACAAATTTTTTTGCCAATTAACTACTCTGGCATTACAAATGCCTTCATCAAAGCATTTGTGCTTTTTTACAATAGTTCACTACGTGTAGAGACCTGATATTTAATATATTTATATATACACACCTAATATAGTTGGGAATGTTTGGTATTATAAAACATAGTGGAAACTCTAAACTGGTATACTATTGATGTTAAACAGTATAAATGTAAACAGTTTACAACTTTAAGCTAGATATCTCAAGAAGCAAGGCATATTAGTATAAAGCAGCTTCTAAAAAAATTGGCTTTGAATATTAAAATTGAACAAATTGTGTTGTTAAATCAAAACTACCGAAAAATCTGAAGTCACCTAGCAAATCGAAATAAGACTTATCGAGTTCGAAGACTTAAGACTTAAGCGGCTTCGAAAAAAATTGGCTTTGAATATTAAAATTGAACAAAATGTGTTGTTAAATCAAAACTGCCAAATAATCTGAAGTCACCTAGCAAATCGAAATAAGACTTATCGAGTTCGAAGACTTAAGACTTAAGCGGCTTCGAAAAAAATTGGCTTTGAATATTAAAATTGAACAAAATGTGTTGTTAAATCAAAACTGCCAAATAATCTGAAGTCACCTAGCAAATCGAAATAAGACTTATCGGTTATCAGTTTTATTAAAAAATTTAAGTTCTCTATCTATTATGGTTTTTGAGAAGCACTTTCTAATAAAAGGAATGCTTTCATGTTTGCAGATATGGAATTGATTTATATGGAAACTCTTTTAAGGAATCACATACCTTAAAAGGGTACTCAAAAATATGTTTTATAATATCACAACATAAAAAGATATATGACTCTTTTTTCCTCAATATGTGAAAAATAGGTGCAGAGCATGTGTATGATTTCTAATAGCACTAAAAACAAAGAATAAAAATAGTTTATAAAAAAAGTTTCTATAGACAGTGTGTCAATGTTAAAAATGATATCACCATTTTCACTATTTTTCCAGACACGTAAATAATATAGAATGAAAAGATTAAAACTAGCACTAGTCCTATGGGGTAGCAAAAATTGTGTTTGATAAAAAACAATTAGCTATATCATTGTTTATATAGAATTAACTAAACCCTGTAAATGCGAAATGCGAATTAAAGTTAAACTTGAAATTATTAAGAATATATTAGCACTTACATGATAAAAGAAATTTTCGAAAGTAAATAAAGTATACAATAAAATTCAACTAAGAATACCGGATAAACATATCAAAATTAATATTGGAAAAATTTTAAAAATTATAGTTAAAGATGACAGATTGTTATGATCAATATTTGTTAATGCATTCCAAATCGTGCATGATAAATAATTACAAGATAACTAAGTTTGCCATCCGACGAAAACAGAAGCTGTTGAGGATGTTGCGAAAGACTTGAGAACAATTAAGAGAACCGGCTGCAAAATATCGACATAAATTCCAATAAATCTTTTTTGTTTTTATTTCGATACACTCTAAAGTATTCAATGCCAATTTTGTTGCACGTGCTTATTGCATTTCTTCACCTCTTCACTCAGCCTTGATCCATAATACCACCAATCACTTAATTGTATATTGCAATTTATCTACTGTGTTCAGTACAGCTTAAATACCAGTTTCTCAAAGTATCTTTAGTATTTTTAAATTTAATTTCTATGCTGAGTTGTTTTTCAATTTTCAATTTTCGGCTTGTTATCGTTTTCAAGGCAACTGCAGCAAAATGTTATCAGGATTGTTACAAAACCAGGTTCGGTGTGCGGGCAAGACTCAATAAATATTAATTTTAATGAAATTGAATGTAAGATGGCATTCATATAAATGCAAAATTGATTTTAGTGTATTTATTTAATTTTAAAATTAAATATTAAGTTTTACTTAAATTTCTTACTATGAAAAATATTGATTTTCGTTACATTTCCAATTATAAACCATAGTTTTATATAAACTTTCATTTCTTTTTTTATTCATTTTTATTAACCATACAATACACGATTTAAATATATAAATTAAACAAATAGTTATTTGTTGATTTCATCCATTATTGTTAATGAATTGAGGGTTAAGTAAGAATAATTATGGCTATTAATCAAGCATTCGACTAGAAAATTTAATAAACACTTCAAGCGCGTTTTACAATTTTTTTTATTAAAAATTCATATTTCATACAAATTGCTTTGATTTAATAATATATAAAACTATTAAAAGAATATCTAATATTTTTAAAACTTTTCTCTTAGTAAAATATTTATGTAATACAAATACTTAATAACACAAATACGTAACTTTACTATAAGAATATATTACATTGGCTAAACTCTACAGTCCCGTGCATTTCCTTGTCGCACCCTACACAAACACCTCCCTCCATATCTACTTGGTATATTTTAGTGAAATATGTATCAAAATTAATAAACATTTCCTTATTATTACAAAGCATCAATTAAACGCAATGCCAATAAAATCATATATCAATATTTTTATATTAGAAT